AGAGAGAGAGAGAGAGAGAGAGAGAGAGAGAGAGAGAAGGAGGATCAAGGATAAGTAGAAGGGGAGGAAGAGAGGCTTATTGCTCAGTTTATTTTTACACGTGCTTCTCTCCGTATAACTTATATTGTCACGACTCTTTCGTTTATATTATTATATTATAACCTTCTCAATGATGGTGATGGTGATGATGATGTTGATGATGACGATGGTGATGATGCTTTTCTTCTATAAAAGAATAATGAGGATGATGATATGATGATAATGATGATGATGATGATGATGATGATGATGATGATGATGATGATGATGATGATGATGATGATGATGATGATGATGATTCAAGTAATTTATAATGCCATAAAATTTGACATAAGAAATATTCAGGTCTCCATTGACTGTTTGCTTTTCTTATCGCACATACAACAACGATGATGATGATGATGATGATGATGATGATGATGATGATGATGATGATGATGATGATGATGATGATGATGATGATGATGAAGGAAATTCTCCTCACCTGTGACACGCTAGGTGTTTTATCCACCCCGTGTGAGTGATGAGTGGGCGGTGTTCCTCTAGGTCGCCTCGTTTGTACACCTCCATCTAGCCCGTTCGTGTTGACCTCCAACCCTCCGCCACGCAGCACTTCCGGCTCCAGATGGTTGTCGGGAGTATTTGTGAGCGTCTTGCCGTTCCCAGCAGACTGATCTTTGTCAGAAAATTTACTAGCTATGTTCTTGAAGATGTTTGAGATTTTATCCTTTGCGTTCGTAAGATTATTCCGCTCTTTATTCTTTTTAGTTTGATCTTGGTTTGTTTCATTGGCATTCTCCAAGTTTTCTCTATCCGATGACGGATATCCTTGGGGACTATATGAAGGTGAGTACGAATAGTCATTGCGGTGGCCCCAGGCGGATGGTGAATAGTCTTTTTCATCATAACCATTTGAGGGTTCATTGTGCCTCCGTCCACGCCCCTCTGTTGGTGAATAGTCATTTATTTCCTCCGATGGTGAATAATCCCTTTTTCTCATATCACTTGAGGGCAAAAACCCCTTTTTCTTGCGTCCGTTCGACTGATCCCTGTCCCTACTGTTGTGTCTATCGGATGGCGAAATGTCTCTATTTCTGTACCTGTCTGACGGTGAATTGTCTCTATTTCTGTACCTGTCTGACGGTGAATTGTCTCTATTCCTGTACCTGTCTGATGGCGAAACATCTCTACTTCTGTAATCTTCGGATGGGGGAAAATCTCTATTCCCGCGTCCGTCTGATGGTGGATAGCCCCCACTTCTACTGCCTCTCGTTGGCGGATAGTCTATGTCTCTTCCGCGGAGCGGGGAAGAGTAGCCCCTTTTTCCATCTCCTTGTTCGGGCGAGTCAGAATGATTTCGACGTTTCCTTTCTCTATCACCGTCTCGATTGGCAGCATCGCAGTCGTCATGATTTGGTCGATGGCGGTCTCTTTCTCCGTAAGGATCTCTGCCACGTGGATCTCTGCCTCGTGAATGCCTGTCACATGGGTCCACATCCCGTGGGTCCCTATCACGAGGGTCCCTGCCACGTGGCTCCCTGTCACGTGAATGCCTGTCACGTGGGTCTCTCTCACGTGGGTAACTGTCACGTAGATCCGTATCACGTGGGTCTCTCTCACGCGGGTCTCTCTCACGTGGGTAACTGTCACGTGGGTCTCTGTCACGTGGATCTCTATCACGTGGATCCCTGTCACGTGGGTTCCTGTCACGTGAATCTGCTCGACGTCCCTGGCGATGGTATGGCTCCTGGTAGTCGTCGACACTGTCGTTTACCACGTCGTCATATGAGTGGTAGTCTCCGTCTCCGCCACTCTGAAAAATGATACACACGATGATGGTGATGGCGATAACAGTATTACTGATAACATGATAATAGTGATAACAATGGTAAAGACACAGAAAAAACAACAACAACAACAACAACAAAACAAAAAACAAACAAAACAACCCCCAAGCTACAACAGTATCACAGAACACCAGCTCACCAACAAGAGAACTAAGGATAAAAACTATAATCATGATAATAATAAAAATACCTTACAATAATAATAACAATAACTATAATAATAATTTAAAAGATAATAATGCTGCTGATGATGATAATAATAATAATGATAATTAAAAAAGAAGAAGAAGA